AAGTCGTACATTCCCATGGGTAACATGCTGGCGAATAAAATGACAATCAATCTCAATATATTTGGTACGCTCATGAAACGTATCATTATGAGACATCTTGACAGCGCTCAGGCTATCACAATGAAGAGCAGTAGAGGATGACTGAGGGGCACCAAGATCAGCAAGTAATCGGCGCAACCATAATAGCTCTGCGGTGGAAACAGCAAGAGCACGATACTCAGACTCGGCACTCGAATGGGAAACCAAGGTTTGCTTCTTACTGCGCCAAGAGACAAGTGTATCACCTAAGAAGAAGCAATACCCGGTAGTGGAGCGACGATCAGTAGGATCTCCAGCCCAATCTGCATCAGAGTAGCCGCTAAGAGACAAGGAAGAACTGGCCGAGAAATGTAAACCATGCAATAAGTTGCCCTTCACATAGCGAAGGATGTGCAACACAGCAGAATGATGCGTGGTTCTCGGAGCAGCCATAAACTGACTCACAATATGAACAGCATGAGCTATATCAGGCCGAGTGACAGTCAAATATATCAAACTCCCAACGAGCTGGTGACATAACGTAGGATCCTCAAGAAGAGAACCATCCAATGGAGTAAGACGAATATCACAATCAATAGGTGTGGAAGCTGTCTAACAATCAGTGAGACCGGCCCGAGCAAGAAGATCAGAGGCATACTTGGCTTGAGACAAATAGAAGCCATCAGAGGAATCATAAATCTCAAGACCCAGAAAATAGCAAAGACGACCCAAACCCTTCATCTCAAAATGCTGTCGAAGATAATCCTGTAAGTCAGAAATACCCGAAACATCATCCCCCTTGATGATCATATCATCAACATAGAGCAACAAAACAATGATCCCAGATGAAGAGCGCCGAAGAAATAGGGCAGAATCGTGATCACTCATAGTGAAACCAAACTGAAACAATGCAGAACTGAACGTGGCATACCAGGCACGAGGCGCTTGTTTCAAGCCATACAAAGTTCGGCGCAGACGACAAACCTTCCCAGAGGACAAGAACCTAGGAGGAGGAGTCATGTAAACCTCCTCCGATATTGCACCGTGCAAGAAGGCATTCTTAACATCTAACTGTAAAAGAGACCATCGACGAACTGCAGCAACTACAAGTAAACAACGTACATTAGTAAGACGAGCAACCAGTGCAAATGTCTCTTCATAATCTATGCCATACTCCTGTGAGTACCCCTTAGCAACAAGACGAGCTTTATAGCGCTCAATAGACCCATCTGAATTTGTTTTGATCTTGTAAACCCATTTGCATCCGATGGGTTTCTTGCCAGCAGGTAGATCAACTAGATCCCAAGTATGAGTCTTGTCTAAGGCCTGCAATTCCTCAGCCATAGCTTGTTGCCACAATGGATCAATACTCGCCTCACGAAAAGACCTAGGCTCATGATGAGATAATATGGCCGAATAACAATGATAATCAAGTAAGTGAGAAGGGGGACGACTTACACGAGTCGACCGTCGCTGATCAATAGATGGCAAAAGTACAGAACTAGAAGAGGGCTCATTATGAACCGTCGGTTCAGGATGCACAGGTGGAGCCACTCCAGAAGACGGAGGCATGATAGGCGTGTCAACGAGCTGTGAGTCAGAACCTGCATCTGCATCTGGAAAAAGATTTGAAGTAATAGACATGAATAAAGGAGACGCCGAATTAAATGGAATGTGGAACT